AGAAAGAAAGAAAGAAAGAAAGAAAGAAAGAAAGAAAGAAAGAAAGAAAGAAAGAAAGAAAGAAAGAAAGAAAGAAAGAAAGAAAGAAAGAAAGAAATATGAATGGTGGCACAAGCCTAAAATAGCATTCAAGGTCATCCTGGATGCATAGTGAGTCTAAGGCCAGCTTTCAATGTGTGAGACTCTGCTTCAGAAACAAAACAAAATAAAATCCTAAACTCCCCAGATTTGACGAGCAATTTGGAGAAAATATAGACTACAGAGAGGAATGTGTTAATGCGCATACAGAACGTAAGTGACCAAGCCAGAGTGTGGGAAAGAAATACTATACCAACAGACGCACTGCCTTTATCAATGACATGGGGGTGGAAAAGGGGGAGGAGAAGAGAGAGAGAAAGAGCGGGGAGGAGAGGAGAGGAAAGGGAGGAAGAAAGGGAAGCTAGAGCGACCTGCCGCTGTTTCCATGAGGCTTCAGAGCTGGCCCCACACTGTTTGGATTCTGATTTGGACAAATCAACAGAACTCTTTTTCTCCATCAGGGGAAATGAACAGAGACTGGGAGTAAGTCACTGTAAAGTATCACTGTCGGTGTTGGAAGCATGAAATGCTGGTGGCCCTAGCCTATGTTTTTTTATCTGTAATCAAATCTCTCTTAGAGCTCAAGTGTTTAGAAAAAAATGGCTGCCTCTGGGATTCACATAAAATACCCAGCCAAAAGAAAAGGAAAACAAAAACAAAAAACTGTGGTGGTATTATGTTCCCCAAAATATTGTGCACCCTAATAAACTTATCTGGGGTCAGGGACAGAACAGCCACTAGATACAGAGGCTAGAAAATGGTGGCACTCACGCCTTTAATCCTAGCATTCCAGAGGCAGAAATTCCTCTGGATCTCTGTGAGTTCAAGGCCACATTGAAAACAGCCAGGCATGGTGACTCACGCCTTTAATCCCAGGGAGTGATGGCAGAAAGCAGAAAGATATATAAAGCGTGAGGACCAGAAACTAGAAGCTTTTGGCTGGTTAAGCTTTCAGGCTTTTGAGCAGCACAGTTCAGCTGAGAGCCATTTGGGTGAGGACAGAGAGGCTTCCAGTCTGAGGAAACAGGATCAGCTGAGGAACTGGTGAGGTGAGGAAGCTGTGGCTTGTTCTGCTTCTCTGGTCTTCCAGCGTTCACCCCAATAACTGGCACCGGGTTTGATTTTATTAATAAGACCATTTAAGATTCCTGCTACAAAAAACAAAAACAAAAAACAAAACAAACAAAAACCGGGCAGCATTGGGCCGAACAGATAAAGCAAGAATGGCAGGTTTTCGCTAATTGTTGACTCTGGCTAATGGTACAACGAGATCGCTAACTCTTCAGTCAGTGTTTAAAAATATGAAGAAAAACCAAAAAGACAGTGGTGCTCATTGCTCAGCCCGAGAGGTTCTAGAGATGAGTCTTCGTAAGTGGCCTAGAGACCATTCTTAATGATATTTTGGCAAAGCTGGTGGCTGCTTTTTGCCCTGGTCCTAAAAATCTGCCTGGGGCAAGGCGAGGCAAGGGAAGAGAGGATGGAGGAGGGAAGACCTCAAATCCTAGGGACTGTCAGAGTCCCTGTCCACGCTCCCCCTGTTCCACCGGCCTTTCCCTCTCCCTGGACTAACGTGGTGATCGTGCACCCTTGGTGCCCTCACACTTCAATCTGTCTCCATCGGTGGTTTGTTCTTTTTATTCAGCCTCTCCAAGCCTTCTCCCTAACTCTGCCCTTTGGGGACAGTTTCTAACCGTCGGAAGCCTGCTGACTGATGCAGCCAAGTCAGCTCTCAGGGGTGAGATAAGTTCCCAGATAGACAAGCTTCCCCTAGCAGGCTCTATCAGATTAGGACAGAGCCCGGGGAAGTGGCCCCTACACACACCTCTATATCAAGAGCAATCAGTTTGGTGTCCACTGGTCAAGCTCTACTTAGCTGAGGGACCTAAGGACCCACATGTTGACAGCAAGGCCCTCAAACTGCAGAGGGGTGAATAATGGTAGAGCACGTGTTTCTGGGTGTGTCGTTCCCCCCCCCCCACCGTACCACCCCCCCACCGCCACCACTGCCATTCTGTTCTCAAGGAATAAGGTTGAGGGTGGTCTAGGAACCATGGGTCATCTCAGAGAACCACTGTGCTAGTAGTGAAAGATCATCCTGAGGTGAGGTCACTCAGCCCTACGTCACTGGTCACATCTGTGCGTCGGGAAGAAACTGTACTCGCCCACACCCCCTCTCTACTCACAATGGGATTCTGCTGCAACACGGTGCGCTCCAGGTCACCTTGCTCCCAGAATTCAGCAGCCACCAGCAGAGCTACCTGCAACAGATGGATCCGATCACATATACAGAGCCCAAACCCTCCTATCCGCTCCCACCTCACTTGTGTGAGGTTTTTTGTTTTTTGTTTTTTTGGTTTTTTTTTTTTGTTTGTTTGTTTTTTTTTGCTTTTTCACACAGAGATGGAGTTTCTCTGTGTAGCTTTGCGCCTTTCCTGAAACTCACTCTGTAGCCCAGGCTGGCCTCAAACTCACAGAGATCCTCCCGCCTCTGCCTCCCGAGTGCTGGGATTAAAGGCATGCGCCACCACCGCCCGGCCCCTCACTTGTGTTTCAAGCTCAGCAAAAGAGGAAAGCCCACCCGTCCCTCATACTCCTGTTTGTCACTGGAGAGACCACGAGAGTGGAGTTGGGCTAAAGGGGTCCAGCCTCATTAACTATGGTCAGCAAACTGCCCCGGGGCAGAAAGTGTCCATACCTTGCTTTGCACCTCCCAGGGCTTGGTGATGGCTGAGAGGTCACAGGCGGTCATCATCATGGCCCTGCGCACAGGATACTCTCCATCAGTCCAGAGTCATTTAAAGCCCCAAATGCCAATTAACTCAATTTCCCTCACTTTCATATTCCCCCTTCCCAGTAGGTCGCTTCACCATTGTGTGAGGCAAGGGCTTGCTCCCCTCATTGTCTCTGGAGTTTCAAGTCAGAGGTTGAATCCCGCCTCCGTATATGATCAGAGGTTTGCCATGGGACTCGGCTCTAAGCCTCTGTTTTCTTGTCTGTCATGATAGCGGTGCTTCCGTCATAGAATAGACACAAGATGAAATGAGATAATGAATATGAAAGTCAGCCTATAGCACCCAGCTATGGAGAGTGTGTGTGTGTGTGTGTGTGTGTGTGTGTGTGTGTGTGTGTGTGTGTGCAGGGAACACACTGCGTATTTATTACTGTTGAGATCAGGCTGGGCCCCATTCCAGGCTACAGTATATTATGTAAACTGATTGCTCAGCCTGGGCCTTGTCCTGAGTTGACTCCATCTTACAGAAGAGATGGGATGAGTCTGTACTTTTCTGGACACACACACACAGAGACAGGATGAGTCTGTACTTCACCAGACATACAAACATCACTTCCCATCCAGCACCACTCATGACGCACAGATTGATAGTTTATTCCCAAAAGTAAAAAGGGTATCAGGCTAGAGAGAGGGCTCAGTCACCTGAATGCTTGCAACTGCAACACTAAGGACCTGAGGTTTGATTCCCACCCAGCACCCATACACAAAGCCAGGCATGGTGAGATACCCCTATACCACAAACCCTGGAGGCGAGGGAAGTGGGGAGAAGGAGGGGACCCCTGGGACTCATTGGCCAGCCCACTAGCCAACCGGGAACCTCAGGGTTCAGTGAGTAGTTACGTCTCACACTGATGGGAAGGCAGGCCATGAATCCCTACACAGTGGGTACAGCGGAGAGCAGAAGGACTGGGAGAGGGAAGAACTGGAGCCACAGAGGGAGAAAACACTTTCCAGTCAGCTGTGCCAGCCTCTAAGGTGAAGGTCCGTGTTGGGCTGTAAGGTGGAGGAGGGGGCGGGACATAAAACTCAGAGTATGAGGTCATCGTCTCAGAGCTGTGTTGCAGGAAGGAGCCACAGAAGAGAGGAGAAAAGGCCTCCCTAGAGCCATGCCTGACACAGATGAAGCATAAGGGGTCAACCTGACTCCGTGAGACCCACTGGAGGGGACCAATGGGGAAAGACTGGACTCTGAACCGAGTTTTCTGCTTAGAGTTTTTTCTTAAGACTCTTCTCTTCATTTTTTACATTTTCTTTATTTGTGTGTATGAGTTTATGCATGCTTGTGTGTACACATGTATGTGTGCCTGCAGGTGCGTGCGTGAGTGCGTGTGTGCGCGTGTGTGTGTGTGTGTGTGTGTGTGTGTGTGTGTGTGTGTAGGACAGAGTCCAAAGTCAGATGTCTTCTCCAGTTGCTTCTCTGCTTTCCTTTTTGAGACAGGGTCTCGTGCTGAACCTGGGGCTTAATTCAGCTACCCTGGCTAGACAGAAAGCCTTCGGGATCCTCCAGTCCCTACCTCCTCAAGTCTGGGGTTGCAGGAGTGTACCTTCCATGCTTTTTATTTATTTGTTTATTTATTTACAAGTGCCGGGGATCTGAACTCAGGTTTACCTGCTTTCGAGATAGGCACTTCGCTGTTGTCTGGGCGATCACTGTAGCCTCATAGGTAGTTTTTATAACTAATCCTCTGCATATGGGACATTTTATGTCAGCTGGTGTAGGAGGCCACTTGGGTCACTCATAACACATTCACAAGTTTAAATAAACTCTTTAATTATGTAATGTGATTTTCAGTGGGTAAGTGTTAAGCGGATACGCTTTCAGAAATGCGTACGTCTCCTAGAAACGCCTTAATGTTTTATAGTAACCTCAGAATGTGTGCCCTGTGTCGAATGTTAGGTGTGCGTACATGTGATGCTTCTTAGTAAAAAGATCAAGCAAATAAATGATCAGCTGTGCATCCAAGAGTCACCACCTCCTGGTACTTGCCATTGTCCCCAGGGTTAAAATCATAGGTGTGGCTTCAGGAGAGTACAAGATATTTGCTTTACTTGGCAGAAGCATCACCTGGAAATACACTCCTGAAGGCTGGGGAAACACACCCGTGTGTTTTATAGACAGACTTGGTATGTGCACGGGCTGGGAGAAGGCCACGTAGCCCCAGAATAGCCAATCCAAACCTCACATCCTAAAGACGGAATTGCAGGTCCCCGCTGCTGCCCCCCCCCAACTCCCTCCAGATGTGTCCTAGAGTCCCAGCTGCTGTATGAGGCATGGGGTTAGAGATGCTCAGATGGCACTCATGGTCGCTCGAAGCAAACAGAGAAAAACACCCACGAGGCAATATGCTTAGCAAGACAGTAGAGCCCAAGGCACCGAAAAAGGAGGCGAGAGGAATGCCTAAAAGTGATAGCAACTAGTCCTGCCTGGGCTGTCTAAGGTACAATAGTAGAGCTGGGCCAAGAGGAGTGCATAGGAACTCTCTGGTATGGACCGTGTCCTGTGTTCCCCTAAATCCATGTGTTGAAGCCTTAACCTCAATGTGATGGTTATAAGGAAGCCTTAGCAAGCAATGAAGGTTAGATGAGGTTATGATGCAGTCAGCTTGGTAAAGAAGGCAGAGAGAACACCTGGTAACAAGAAGCCTGGTGCATTCACAAGGCTGGGGCATGGCAGGGAGAATCTCAGGGCACCCTTGGGAGCCTTGTTAAGAGAAGCCATATTGAGCTGGGCGTGGTGGTGCACGCCTTTAGTCCCAGCACTCAGGAGGCAGACGCAGGCAGAGTTTGAAGTTATTGATTGATTTTTATGGAGGAAGGTGCCATAATGGCAAAAGAACCCACAGCCCATACAGTCAGAATGTAGCTCTCCATAAATGGATCAAATTTTATTTATGGACATGGATGCTTTAATTTATTTATTTTTCTTTGTCGTGAAATGATATTTTAAAAAATTTCCCCCAATCACTTAAAAACCTAATTAGTTCCAGGCTCAGTGGCACACACCTTTAATCCCTTTGGAAGTATAAAAAGACAAATCTCTGTGAGTTCCAGGCCAGTCAGATCTACATAGTGAGTAGGGCTATGTAGAGAGACTATTTCAAGAAGAAGAGGAAGAGGAGGAGGAGGAGGAGGAGGAGGGGGGGGGAGGAGGAGGAGGAGGAAAGTAATTAGCTATTCTTGGCTCAGACATTCTATGAAATCAGGCAGCAGGCTCTACACCCCAGCCCTGAGGAGGCTGAGGGCTTCCAGCTTCTGCTTGGGCCACAATCAAGAACGACATTAAGAGACAGAAAGAGCTTAATAAGGAGCGGGAAGTCACGCCCTTGCTCAAGAGCTGGTGGGACATCCTGGCCTTAGGTTCAATAAGCAGGGGCAACATAAGAAAGAGCCAGGTAGGGCTCTGACACCGTGATGTGGCTCAGGACACAGCCAGGGGTTTGGTGTGGGTCTCAGACCACAGGAAGCTCACGATGTGAACACCTCCAAGACAATCAAAGTACCGGAAGACGGTGCTGGACTTTCTTTATGTTAAACCCAAACTCTGCAGACCAAGAGATCTTGGAAACAAGGGTTTATGGAGCTATTGTAAATGCTAGCCAGAAAAATAAAGGGCCAGGTCCTGGGACAAAATCTTGCAGCTGCAGGGTGGGGGCAGTTAGAAGATGTCCACAGTACCTGAGTTTTTGGGAAAGAAGGCACCACAACCTACCATGACTACAGTGCAGAGGAGCCAGTAGGTCTGGAATAAGAGGATAATGTGGAGGAGAAGTGCTTGTTGCTTCTCAGAATTATCTGAGATGTCCTAAGCAGAATGTGACGGCACATTGGTGGGTTTTGCCCCTTGTGCTTTAGAGACAAGGTTTCACCATACATTTAGGAAGGTGAAGTCTGATTTTTCTATTTCTTGGTTTGGCCTAAATTGTTAGCCAAACAGTATCTTATCATCTCACCTCTCCATCTCTCATTCCCATTCCCCAGCCCCCCACTTTCTAACTAAGTTTAGGACATCTCAGAATTTTTCCTTTCTCACAATGCAATTCAGTGCTAACACTTGCCAACTGGAGTTAGCTCTGACTCCACAGACTTAAGAGTGTGGTCTCACAGAAGGTTCTCACTTCAGAAGTCGACCCTACATTAGCCACTTTTCTGTCTGGATTACCTTTCACCAGGTGTAGGGGCACCCATAACCTCCCTTCAGGTTCATTCATTTGCTGGGTCAGCTCACGAAACTCAGGGAAGCATTTTGCTTACATTTGCTGTGTATCCTACAAGTGAGAAACATGAAAGAGAGCATGCAAGGAGCGGGAACAGGAAGGTCTCTTAGGCCATACAAGACCTCCATGCGGTCAGCAAGCCAGAAGGTCTCCAGACTCCCATGTTTAAACAATGTTATGATGGTTTTATCTTGTAGGCTTGGCGAATTAAGCTATGAGTCACTGGTCATTAACTTGATCCAAGCCTTCTCCACCTCCCTAGAGCGTAGAAATGAGGCTAAAAGTCCCAGGCTTCTTATAACGGGGTCTCTCTGAGAAGCAGCCCCCATTCTGAAATTATCTAGGCTCCTGCCAAGAGTGACCTCATTAGAACAAAAGATACCATAACCACTCAGGAAATTCCAATGCTCTTAGGAGCTCCATGTGAGGAACCAGGAACAAAGACCAGATCTATATGTCATTATATTACAGGAAGTGCCCCAAAGCACCACCTACCTAAGTCATGCTGTAAAGCATTCCAATTACCCCCAGCCAGCTCTGAGAGAGAGAGAGAGAGAGAGAGAGAGAGAGAGAGAGAGAGAGAGAGAGAGAGAGAGAAGACACTACTTTCATCCCCATTGAGCCTCAGAGGAAACTGAGGCACAGACAGGTGACGTAACCTGCTCAAGCCAAACCATCAATAAGTGAGAGCCAGGACTTGACCCCAGACTGCCTGGTACTGAGACTCCAATTGTGTAACTGTCCCACTCTGCCC